TGTAAATAGCGACATAATAGAAGTAAAAAAATGTTTTAAAAATTGCAATGGCTCTTTTGATGCTAACGATTAAAGACAGAGTAAATAAAACCACCACAGAGAAGCAATGACTTACAAATATATGGAGTGTTTTCTACCTTTGCCTCCCAGTGTCACCCTTAGTAATTATATTAGTGTGTTTTGTATGTAACCTTTACCATTACTTGGTAAATATGCTATTCAACATATCATCCCCGTAGAGCAAAAATTCATTAAGTCCAAAAACCTGTTTCGAGATAATGAGGGTTAAAGTTTTGAAATATATAAAATGCCATAACTTTAGCATGTCATGACATATTTTAATGTTTTTCGTTTCATTTTGAAGGAAATCAAAATATGTTACAATGATGCTAGCTACCCAAAGTATGATTAAGTTATTACTGAGAGAACCTAAAAAATAACATTTAGTTATTTCTTCTCTGTAGAATATCCGATGTAGTTATGAATTAGTTAATATTCGCCCCTAGTTAGTGATTTTTCACTCAGATCGAGTTGGGTAAGTTACGACTGGTAGATATACAAAATATACATAATGAAAAAAACTTTTTTTAAACTTAATAGTTAAAAGGCATTTTGTTGTATAATAGTATTAAATCAAACTACTATTATATAAAAAAAATCTTCTACACTCCCTATGGATTAAAAAATTAAAAATAAAGAAATTAAATCATTTATTTTTATAAGCTATGTAAGTTTTTGATAAAAAAAAAATAGTTAACATGATTTAGTTATTTCTAAATTCTTAAAAAGTACAAGCTACCAACGACTAAGTTCCGATTCGTGATCGTAAAGAATGGATCATAATCTTATAGCACTTTTTGATGACATGAAGATAGAAATGCAAAAACAATCGAACTTAATTATGCAAAAAATGGAGGAGAAACTAAACCCTTTAGTAAAAGCAATAACAGACTTGAAATCCGAAAACAAGAACCTACGCGAGAAAATTGATAATTTAGAGCGCGAAAACCGTAAAAATAATATTATAGCCTTTGGATTTAAAGAGGAAGAGATTTCAAAACAAAATCTAATAGAAATAGTCACTGAAATGATTCGATCAAAAATAAATATAGATATCGGCCATAACGACATCAATAATATATACCGCCTAGGAAAAAGGGGGGTAGATAACGAAAAACCAAGACCTGTTATCATCTCTCTTTTACATGCTTGGAAAAAAGAACAAATCATGAGAAATAAGAAAAAGCTGCCCGGAATCTATTTAAATAAAGACTATCCTAAAAATGTACTAACTAAAAGAAGGGAACTCCAACAACAGTTGATAGAAGAAAGACAGAAGGGAAAGTATGCAGTATTGAAATATGACAAACTCATCATACGGGATAGCATACAAACAAAAGAGAAACGCAAACGCGAGCGTTCTATGTCAATTTCACCACCAAAATACGCCCAAAAGAGCAATTTGCAACCCACAGCAACAACAAAAGCAAGCAGGTCAAACGCCTTTGACATGATGCGAGGAAGAAGTAACTCTCTCACCACCCCTACCCTCACATCAAAACAAACATAGGAACTCGACAGCCGGATAAACAAAGAACATAAAAATATAAGTAAAACATTTAGAAAAACATTCCCCAATCCGGCTGGTCCCCGTGGGGAATCAGACCAAAACCCTCTAGCAACAAACAAAAAACAAACAAGAGTGTTGAAAATTGGAACTTACAATGTGAGAACTTTAGCATCAACAGAAAAATTGATAGAACTTGTGCACTCATTGAAAAATATTCAAATAGATGTATTAGGATTAGCAGAAGTCAGAAAAATGGGATCTAATATAGAAGAACATCATGAACACATCCTCTGTTACATGGGAAATACACCTGGATTATATGGAGTTGGGTTTCTTATCAGTCGAAAACACAAAGCCAATATTATCGAGTTCACTGGTATATCCGAACGGGTAGCCCTGCTGCGCATGAAATTTGGAGAACACTGCATATCACTCATCCAAGTCTACGCACCAACCGAAGAAGCAGATGAAATTGAAATCAATAATTTCTATGAAGAACTTGAAAAAGCCCATGAAACACCTGACAAAAATGTATTGATTTTAGGAGATTTCAATGCTAAGATTGGTCAACCCAAACATAAAGAAAAACTTATACTAGGCAATTATGGTTATGGCAAGCGTAACCAGAGAGGTGAAAGACTAATCCAATATGCCTTTGAACACAAGCTCTGTATAATGAACACTTACTTTAAGAAAAAACTTAGTCGTAGATGGACCTGGATTTCGCCTAATGGACAAACAAAAAATGAAATAGATTTTATAATGAGTAATCACCCCAAGTGCATAATAAACATGGAAATTATAAATAAAATAGATTTTCCATCTGACCATCGATTAGTCAGAGCCTCTGTAATACTGACAACACCAACTTTATCAAGAAAGAAATTTGTAATGTTACCAAAATCTCCTGAAACCGACAATGAAAAATCAGAGTATCTGAAGAACCTAAGTGATAATATTAATACCCGCCTTAAAGAGATATATAATAATAATGATGTTCAAACTTACTATGACGCCCTAGAATTAATAATTAAACAAAGCCTAAAAATAGATAAAGACCACAAAACAAATAAAATAATTAGCAAATCTACTCAAAAACTAATAAATGAACGCTCAATTTTAATCAAACAAAAAATTAAAAACAAGGAAGATAAGATCAAACTTAAGAATTTATTCAAAGCAACAAATAAAGCCATAAGAAAAGATTATAAAAACCACAGAAAACATATTTTAGAAAAAACCTAAAGCAATATCGAAGTACGAAGAGGGGGCTTAAGGAGCTAAACACACACAAAAATTGGATAACAAAACTAGAAAATGGACACAGAGAAATGAAAACTAGAAAAGGAATCATGGAGTGTGCTACTGAATTCTATAGAAACCTCTACGAACATCAGGATGACAGAGCAGTTGGCCCAACCACCAAGAATTCGGAGGAAATACTACAAGCCATTGATGAACAAGACGTACATAAATATATTTGCAAACTAAAACCTGACAAAAGTCCAGGACCTGACTATATAACTAATGAGGCCATAAAAATCGGAGCACCAATACTAACTAGTATCATAACAAAATTATTTAACATAGTGCTGGAACAAGGCTATGTCCCTACACAGTGGTGCCACTCAGACATTGTGTTACTATACAAAAAAGGAAACCCGTTGGATATTGGTAACTATAGACCAATTAGTTTGATACCTACCATCTATAAGCTATTCTCATCAGTCCTACTTAGTCGAATAACAACAACAATTGATAACAACCAACCAATGGAGCAGGCAGGATTTCGTTCAGGTTTCTCAACTGTGGACCACATCCATGCTTTAGAACAACTTATAGAGAAATATAAGGAATTCAATAGACCACTCTATATAGCTTTTGTGGACTATTCCAAAGCGTTCGACAGCATAACACACACATCTATATGGCAGACATTGGAAAAAAATAAAGTGGAAGATAGATATATACAAATCATTAAAGACCTATATTCTAAAAGCACAAGTAGAATAAAACTAGAAACGAAAGATGCAGAGTTTCCCATTAGACGGGGCGTAAGACAGGGTGATCCTCTGTCCCCAAAACTATTTATAGCAGTCCTAGAAAGTGTCTTTCAAAATATTGATTGGGGAAGCAGGGGCATACCGTTAATAAATCAGCACCTAACACATCTCAGATTCGCAGATGACATAGCTGTTTTTAGTGAAACTGCATCAGCGCTGGAAAAAATGCTGCAAATCCTGGATGTGGAAAGTAAAAAAGTAGGTCTGAGTACCCCAACAAAACTAAAATCATGTCAAATAGCCTGCACAAACCTATAAAAGTAAATGACAAAATAATAGAGTATGTAGAGTCATATATCTATCTAGGGAAGCAGGTATCGTTTGACACCACCAACAATGACATGGAAATTTGCAGGAGAATAAACATTACCTGGAACAGGTACTGGTCACATAAGGAGATTCTGAAAGGAAATTACAGTTCAGAATACAAAAAGATTGTAATGGACACTTGCCTACTACCATGCCTAACATATGCATGCCAAACATGGGTATTTGATAACAAAACCAAAAGTAAAGTAAGGTCATGTCAGAGAGCAATGGAGCGCAGTATGCTAAAATTAAAAAGGATACACAAAATCAGACACGAAACAATAAGAGAAAGAACTAGAGTTACAGATGCCTTAAAGCATGCACTGAAGCTAAAATGGAAATGGGCAGGACATATATCTCGCTTGAAAGATGATAGATGGACACTTACAGCTACTAAATGGCTAGGTCCAAGGGGAAAAAGGAGAGTTGGCAGACCTCAGAAACGCTGGGTCGATGACATTGTCCATGTTGCCGGAAAAGAATGGATGATCAGAGGTCAGGACAGAGAGGACTGGAAGCGGCTAGAGGAGGCCTATACTCAAGATAGGGATCCATACCTAGGAAAATAAAATATGGTACTAATAATACTAACATTTATTTCAATATTAAATTACTAAATAATATTACATATACTGTATTAATAACCACATTAACACAAAATTTTTAGTTTAGTTGTATTAGCATGTAATGTAAATGGTATGGTACGAAATAAAGGCTTTATTATTATTATTATTATTATAGTTATTTCTCTTATTGTCTATTAGTACCAAAGAATAGATTTAATTAATTTTCACTTCTTGTAAATCGGAAACTATGATACCTACAAAATTGACGGTTAGACAATTAAATAAAGAAAAAAAATCTAATTTTAATGGCATAGATAACTCGTTCTGGCAATTTTTTGACTTAATTAGTTTTTGCTCTACGGGGACGATATAAAGTATTTTTATTACAACAGATTGGAGAGCACAAACTCTTTTGCTTAGTAATATTTGTATTAATGTAAGGATTCACTAATCAATTTGAAATGGAATTAAAAATAAACCTTCCAATATTTATCATTGATCTGCCTTAATGTCTGTGCTCCTACTAATGGCACAAACTGTCCAGGTGTTGGTGCAACATAGATACAGAAGTTGAGCAGTCGATATGCCTCGGGCAACTGTGTCGAGGTCAAGTGTAAGCCGCATTGCAAGGTATTTGCTCAGGTGGTCAACTGTAATCGATTTTAAGTCATATTAGAATTTTATAGAGTTGGAACGATAATATTAAAAATATTTATAGAAGCAACTTATTTAGTAAAGTCTTTGGTTGTTCTGAATATTTTTTATCCCATTACTACATGTATTTTAAAAATTACCAGAAGCATTAGCTGTGGTCTTCAGGTATCGTACAGAGCTATCTCTCAAAGCTCTCATAAGTTGGTTATCGCCCATCATTTCAGTGGGATGTGGTTTAAAAACCAGCTCAATCTCATTTGGATTCAGCACCTCCCCCTCACCCTCTGTGTCCATAGAATTTCCACCCTCTGTTCTGGAATAAGTTGGTATAAAGTGATAAAATATTCAATGAAATTTATGTCAAGCCACACTTCAAATATATGTTTCCTATGTAAGTGGATTTACAATAAGAAAAATATTTAATTGACACTTGAAATTATTTTACATTTTATTCATACTTGATATATACATGAGAACATTCTATTATTTAGGGTTACAACACACTTTTTTACACACTTTATATTAGCTTCACCTGTATGTATGTATGTATGTAACCGACTCCTTCGGACTCGATTTTGACCCACTTTTAACGGACAGATTTAATTCAAACTTTGCACACCTGTCAAAGATCGATGACAATGCAATAATCCGAAAAAAAAATAAAAATTTAACTAAAAAATAAATAATAGTTTAAAAAATCTAGAACACACGCTTTTAAAGCACATCAAACTACAAAGTGAAAAATAATTCCTAATTTAGGCTGAAATGGAATGGTAATGAACAAAAAATACTGGTATTATTGTGAAAAAGCGTGGGTTGCTCGATAGACGAAAAATATGGCACAGAAACTATTATTTATTTTTTACTGTTACAACAAACTTTTTTAGGCTATGTAGAGTTGTCATTATAAGGAAGTTTTTTTCTACTAATATATAGTAAGCCATTTTAACGTTTTACGGAATTTGAAATCAAAAATTAATTACAAACCTGCCATCACTAGATTCACTTTCTTCACTTCTCTCTGAAGTTAATACAGACTTTGCTCTTTTAGTTGTACTAGTATTTTTTGACACAGAACTCAGATTGGATGGACTTGGAGATGGTGTACTTCTTACAGATGCAGGATTTGATGTTGACTGACCAGATGGGGTAGGATTTCCTGTGGATGAGGAACCTTCTCTTTTGTTTGAAATGCTTGTTGTACCTCCATTTTGTGGTGGGTCAGTATTATTTCCATTAACAGTAGATGTGCTATTAGCACTGCTTTCGTCTTGATTTTTCCTGGATCGTTGAGGCCTATTCTGAGACTGTAATTTGATTCATTCTGTGATAGAGTGTACAAGGGAAGCTTGAAAATGGGACATATTCATCTTAGCCAACACTCTTTCTTGATGAGCTTCATATTCATCTCTACTTGGATATATTTTAGATATAAGTAGATTAAAATAAGGATCGGGTCGCAAGGACCGCTTTGAAACCAACTTCTTTCGACAGGTCGGGCATTCTTTGTTACCAGACCGTAATGCAGTTATAATGCAATCCAAACAAAATCTATGTAGGCATTCTTTTGTTGTCATGGTCTTCTTGAGCATATCTAAACATATTGGACACATTAGTTCACTGTGCAAACTACGCGGGGAGACGGCTATCTTCGTAGCGTCTGTTATTACTTCCTGAGGTGTTCTATGTAACTCGTATAGTGACAGATCCCATGTCTTATTTTGAGAAGGTTCTGTTGACGACATGTTTAATCTTAACAAACAATTTGTTTTTCTTTTAAGTGGTATTACAAGGCAAGCACATAAAGCCTTCGGCCTACACTGCGACTGCCGCCATTTTGTTTACTTTTGACTCTGATATTTGATTATTGATAACCATTCAAAACTTTGTTTATGACTTTGACAGTAACAAAACATTCCAACTACAGAATATGATGAAGCGTAAAGTTTCTACAAATTGTATCATATTTTAACTCTAAAAAAATTAAAAACCAGAATCTCAGAAGTTATTTTGGTTAAACTTTACAATATGGACCGTCGATTTTTAAGGTTTTTTGGGGAGGAGGGGATGGAGGGAGGTGAGAACTACCCCCTGCATCATCCCCAACCTGCGAAACCCCATGGTTATAGAGATATTCATGGTTAAAGTTTTAAGGTTAGAATGGTAAAGATTTAGAAATCCGTCGCCCGAATTTGATAATACTTATTATGTGGTGTCTCTTTACCTTGATAGGAACACCTCCAAGTGATTTCTGCTGCCGGAGTTGCGACTTAGTATTAAAAAAGATTATTTCAACTTTTGTGTAATGTATTGAAATTCTAAAACAAACTGTTCATTTTCTATTGGTTATTAGAGATGTGACATTTTGCATCAATTATTAGTGATGTGACATTCTGCATTAAAATTGTTTTTTTTTAAATTAATCTATGGTTTTTTTGCATGAAATATCGATATATACAATTTTTGAACTTTAAAGTTTAAGGATTTCCACTTTCAACCAACAACTTTCACGCTCCAGAAACAGTTATTTAAAAAAAATATTAATATACTAACGTAACCTAACCGATCTAGATAATAATTAGTTTTTTGGACAGCTCCGGCGCTACGGGAAATGAGGTATTTGAAAAAATATTAATATACTAACCTAACCTAACCGATCTAGAAAATAATTGGTTTTTTGAACAGCTCCGGCGCTACGGGAAATGCAGCCCCTCCACCCTTGCGTACCAAAGCACAGGCATTTTATTCAAATCTCTCTTCCTCCGCGCCTCCGATTATTTATATACACTCTAGGGGTAAGGCCGACAAGACCACGTGGATAGTGGGGTGCTCTGATTCGGTTTTGGATTTAAAATTTTGGGCATAAAGTAGAACACTGTAAAGTATCGATATTTTCAAATTTTTCAAAACCTACACTATATGAAACGTGAATTGACGTTTAACATCAATTATTTGTCAAATTTATTGTGTTATGGCGGGTTATTTGCTTATTTGTATGGAAAGTAAAAATAAATATATCTCATGAACCGTAAGTTTCCTCAACTTAAAACTTTGCAAAACGCTTTCTTTTAGTGAGTACTATCTACAAAAAAAATTCAAATCGACGGTCCATATTGGAAAGTTTACAAGCGTGATTACATTGCCTTGATTGCTGTTCGACATTGACTGAATAGGTCGTTGAACCATTATCCCTGGCTGGTTTGACTGTAATTGCTGCCCGGGTTGCTGTACTAGAATGGTTTGTTGACCTGGTTGCTGGCCTCGAGGCCTAGGTGAGGCCCCTTGCACCCCAGGGGAGAAGTCGCGCTTCTGGCGACCCCGAAAGAGAACGAGACAGGATGACGAGGAGAGTAGCTGCAGCGACACCCCTATCCTTTCGCGCGAACGCACGTAAGCGCGGTACCAATGAGCCCGGAGAGTAGAGAGAGAAAGTGAAGCCGAGGCGGAACTCGCGGCTCTTAACGAAAAATCCACTGAGACGGGTACGGTTGGAAACGCCAGAAGACGCATCGAAGAAAACCTGGCTGCCGTAGAAAAAGTGGCCAGGTGTTCTATGAACCTAAAGGTACATTTGTAGCCGCTCTTAAAAAGGCAGTTGTAGCAATCAGATCGGATGCTGATAATCTGGCGGTGCAAACGCTGTCGGATGAAACTCGAGCTCTGCAGCTAGAAAATTAACGCCTCCGTGCACAACTTAATTTACTACAAGGCGAGATGCGCGAGCTTAGGTCGATCTTGCAAGCCGAAGGACCACCCAGCTGTCAATGTAGACGAACTGGAGGCTCGGATCCTCCGACAGGTAGGTGAGCATATCAATGCTCAACTTAAGGATCTCGGGCAAAGGCCCAACCTGTAGTCGCCAGCCCTTCCCCTTCTGACTGAGAGTAAAAAGAGCAAAAAAGGTAAGGCGAAACCACCTTCCAAATCACCGATGACAACTGTAGCTTCGAAAACAAAACGGGGGAATGCAACCGTGCAGACGTATGCCGTTGGAAATAATGAGCAAAACCGTTTGGCAAAAGAGCTGAGAAAGGAAATGTTTGAAAGAAATACCCCTGTCTCCTCTCCCGCTAGTGCCATTGTATTGCCACATTCCCGCCCCTCGCTGACCACCACCAATGAAGAAGATTGGACGATGGTTACAAAAAAAAAGGCAAAAGGCGGCAACCGCGACGCAAAAAAATGTGAGAGCTTCAAAGTCGGCAAAATCGAAGGCTGAAAAGCCCCCACCCAGGACACTTGCTTCAGCAAAAAAAAGGGCATGGCAGGAACTACTAGAGACGATAGAGCGGGATCCCTGGGGGCGCCCGTACCAGATAGTTACAAATAAACTGCGCCCCTGGGCCCCACCTCTTACAGTTATGGAGCCAGACCTGCTAACCACGGTGGTGGCAAAACTTTTCCCCGAGCGGAGTACCCCAGATCTGCATCAAGGGAGGAGCATCGAACACCATGAAACCATCCCTGAGGTATCCTCTTCGGAATTAGAGACGGCAATAGAGCGGATGTCCACAAAGAAAACCGCGCCGGAGCCTGATGGCGTGCACGGGCGAATCCTGGCTCTTGCCCTCACCGCTGGTCTTGGCCTGCGATATCAATGCCTCCTAACAGAATGCTTGCGAAAAGGCCACTTCCCTTTGGCATGGAAGACTGTGTAATCGCAATTAGGATCGCGAGGGCGTACAGCACGGTCGCGTATGACGCAGCGTGTGTTATAGCCGGCACCACACCCTGGCACCTCGAAGCGGGTGCCCTGAGCGAAGTTTATTGGAGGAGGGCCGAAGCCAGGCACAATGGTAATGACCCTGCGCTCGGTAGTCTTTGCACAAGTATTTGCAGGTATAAGTATTTGCCCAAGGTAGTCGGGCGTGAGGAGGCACCAACCCGCCACCATTGTGACGCTGGCGTTGTTGATGACGCGCTCCACACCTTAAAGGATTGCCTAGCATGGGAGGTGGAAAGGAGGCCTCTACTGGGCATGCTACAGGGCGAGGACGCTACTCTCGATAACATTGTGAGAGTAGCAGTTACAAGCTCGGACAGTGACGGCATGTGGGAAATCTTCCAGAGATTCTGTGAAGCCGTCATGCACCATAAGGAAGAGGCGGAGAGGGCCAGGGAGGATGATCCCGCAGCCCACCCGCTTCGCCGTAGGAGACCACAGCGTCGCCATTGCACCGTGCAACCCTGTGTGTAATCCTGGGCTCGCAGTTGCTCCAGCGGGGGAACAGGGGCTCATGCGTCCAAAAGAAGGGATGCTGATACATCCCTGCAAGCATTGTACCCGGCCTCCCCCAGCTCTATAAAACAGGATGAATTGGCCGATGTGAAAGGCCCTTGCTGTGCCAAGGTCCATTCCACATCATTCGTGGCCGTAGAGGACCGTAATATTAACGGCTGATCGCGTGGCTGGATGCGGACAAGGCTACGCTGTTACCGTGTCCTGCCCCGGGCGATTGCTGCAGGTGGCGCCGTGGGGTTTTAGTGGGTATGCACAACAGCGAGTCCCACATAACCCTTCCCCACCAGGCCAACCACGCCGCGGGAGGGTATGCGTAACGCATTTCCCCACGAAAGAAAAAAAAAAAAAAAGGTTGCTGGCCTGGTTGTTGGAGAAGAATTGTCTGTGGTCCTGTTGGCTGGGTCGGTTGCTGAACAAAGAAGGTTTGATGATTTGGTGGTCCAGTAACAAATATGGTTTGTGGCTGGCCTGACTTTCCTTGTGGACTTTGAACAATAAATTGCTGTTGGCTTGACGGTTGTCCAACCACGATTTGTTGCTGCCCGGCAGACTGAGGAACTAAGAAAGTCTGTTGATTTGGTTGCTGAGACAATAGAACTGTTGGCTGCTGGTTGGGCTGTTGAGAAACAAGTACTTGGTTTGGTTGTTGTTGCAATAAAACTTGCTGACCATTAGGTTGAGTAGCCAGGATCATCGTCGGCTGATTTGATGGCTGGTTTACACGCTGAATTATCATCTGTTGGGGCTGGCCCTGTGGTGACGCCATGATGAACGTTTGTTTGGCCTGGTTGACTGGGTTGACTAAATACGATATGTTGGCCTTGCTGGTTTACATAAGTGGGCTGTTGTGAGGGTTGGCTTAAAAACGTTTGTTGGCCTGGCTGCGTAATGAATGTTTGTTGTTGTTGGCCTGGTTGGCCGATATACGTCTGTTGACCAGGTTGGGTAATAAAGGTTTGGCCTTTCTTAAGGAATTTCTAATTATTTAATTTTGTGGATGTGAGAAATGCTCATTTTTAAATTATATATTGATTAAGCACCAGCCTAAATTAATGATTAAGAAATAGGAAACTCCTGATGAGACTCATTAATAAGAAATATTTTAGTTTAATAGGTTAGCTTTATTATTACAGTTGTTATGCTATTCTTAAACAACTTATTGGAAAAAATGTGTTGAATCAAATCCATATCTACATACCATATAATATATCTCCCTCAAGAATAAGTTTAGACATATAAAAATAGTGTACTTTAGTATTTTGAAATAAAACAGTTATTGTTGTACATATTTAATGAAAATAATATACAATGAAAACAATTTTTGACACTTTTTTAAATTATTTTCTGTGATTGATTCCGGTATACAAATAATCACAATGACAACAAAAAACGTTCAAACTAAAAAATCAAGTCAAAGGTGAAACTTATCAAAAACTAGGTATAAAGTAACATATATATATATATATATGCTTATTTTCGTCATGATCAAGATGTGTGAAGAAT